ATGACTAAATGCAAATCATAGCAGAGTAATTTCTTTACAGAAACTAAGAAAGCTGAGTAATTCCTCATAGATGACACAGAAGAACACAAGCAGAATCTGAGCAGAGAAGTACCCAGGATGTTTATAAAATGGCTATTCGTAATTTAGAGTAAAGTTTATCCCACTTGCAATATTGCGTGTAAAACAAATCAAAATACCTGTTGAATATTTTCAGAGTTTAGCAATCGAATATGCAGTTTTAAAATGAAATTTGACAGCTACAGATACGAGGTTTGGTGTCCTTTTGCACAAAAAGCTTACATTGCTCTGTGGAGACCGAAATGTGAATTAAGTGCAAGGTAAATGTTGCTCCTTGGACCAGAGCCACGAGTATTGAGCTGACACAGCAGGCTGTGAAGTGACATTATCACCTTTCTCCCTCCTGAGCTCCAGGCAGCCCAGCAGAACCAGCATTCCTGATTCCTTGGGAGAGGATTAGTGAGCAGGAATCCCTAGCAGGTCTGTGCTTTGGCTGAAGCTGGTGCACAGGGAGAGGGAAGAAAACCTTCCTGCACAGTGAAAGCTCTTGGATGATCACAGAGATTTTCCACAAGTGCCTCTCTCTGTAACTCACAGCAGGTGACTTCTGAGAGAGCCTCTGATGGAAATGCACCTGCCCAGGTGTCCAGGACTGCTGCTGCTGCCCAGGTCACGGTGCAAACCTTCCAGAAACACCTCTGGGGAAGGAGGGAGTGTGCAGGGAACAAACCTGGGGGCCAGCAGAACCCCCAGCAGCCTGAGGAAGCCAGGATGTGCTGGACATGGCTGCAAAGAGCCTCTGATGGCAGGGAGCCAGGGGGAAAAATGCCTCCTACTCCTAGGGTTAAGGAAGTTATTTTAATTGTGTAACTCTTCTGTTAGAAGAAATAGTTTTTCCAAATATCAGTGCAGGACCTATTGAAAATAAGGAATTCTCTGTAACACAAGGTTCTGCACATTTACAGCTGGGTTTGGAAACAGTGCTGATAGTCCTTAAGCTGTTAACAAACCTCACACTGCTGCCTGCTTCCAACATCTGGTTGCTCTGTTTCTTTTTCTGTTTTCTCTTTACTTTCTCACACTGCTGCCCCTCGAGCCCAGTGCACTGCACCACCTCTGACACACTCCAGTGAGGATTTTCAGCAAATTCCAGTTTCTACACTCTCTTCTTTTGTACAGGCAAGAGCAAGACAAAACCCAAACTATAAATGAAAGTGTGCACCATGTAATTATGTTCTTAATGCCATTTCCTTTCACTGAGGACTAAAATTCTGCACTTACAGGCAGCTATCTGAAATGTGAAACGGAGCAGTCATTCCACAGAGCTCAGGGATATCAACATAATGATACCTCTAGGACAAAGGGAAAGAAAATATGGTATTTAAGAGAAATTGCTAGGATAATGCAATTATTTATAATGAATGAACGGAATTTTTATTTCTTGGTGTTAAGACTTGGGACATTCCCCTTTCCTTCTGGTAGCTTCAGTTTTTTAATAAGAAAAGTCAAATAGGACAGAACTGGTGGAAGGATGACAGTTCCAGAGACAGTACTGGGTAGCTTATTTGGGGACACTGGGTCAGAACTGCCCCAAAGGGACATTTTCCACCACAGGAATAATTTAATGACACGGTTCTGAGCATTTTAGAGTCTTTACTGTCCACAACTTAGTCTAGTATATTATTTTAGATTAGATTTTGAGACACCATATACTCCTAAGTACTGGCTTCAGTTCTTCACTACAAATGGAGCACAGTTTTACCACAGTAAGTCAGCCTTACAAAATGTCTTTGATAAAATGCCAACAAAGAATGACACAGTATCTTGGCCCCATAGCTTGATTACAATCAATCTTCCCCAGGGACCTGGTCGCAGCCCCAAGCCTGACAGAGTTCAAGAAGTGTTTGGATAATGCTCTCAGGCACCTGCTGTGATTCTTGGGAATGTTTTGTGCAGGGATAAGAGTTGGACTGGATGGTCCTTGTGGCTCCTTCCCAACTCAGCATATTCTGCAATCACTGGAAGTCCCTAAGGAATACCACTGAACTTAATGGTAGTGTCAAGACACTATTGTGCATAAGAGGCACCGATATCAGTCAAACTTTGAGACTACAAAATTATTTTTGTGGCAACAAATTTGCCTTAGATCCATGGTGTTGGTGCTGGCAGATACTTTTGCAACAGCTGTTTGTACATTAGTTTCTGTGGCTCTCCGTGGATGCACTGGAAGAGTGGAAAGGTTAAATCCATTTCATACACCAGCTGTATCTACCAAATCCATTTCATACACCAGTTGTATCTACCAAAAGAAGCCACAGAAAACTCCTGCTGTTCATACCTGAGCCTCCCCAGCAGCTGTGAAAGATGCACCAAGTAGTTGGCTGTGATCAAACACAGCAAAGCAACCTCTGTCAATGAAAGTTGCTGCAGTGGCAAATAACAGCTCCAAAAGCAGCAGTAGGAAAACGAATTCTTAACTATTTATAATAATAACCCCAAAACAACCAAACCAAACTGGGTAATCTCATTGGTGAGAAGTGGATACGTTGGCATCATGCTTAAATATTATTGGTGTTGGTTAAATGTATCCTCCCTAATCACGTTAGCACTTCTTAACATTCAAGAGGATTAATTTTTTCCCACTGAGGCTTGTAAAGCATTATCTACAGAAGATCATATTAGAAGGGACAGGAGTGAATTTAATGCACTGGATTTGAAGTAATTTACAAAACTCATTAAAATTCCAAAGATGCAAAATGGGTGTTCTGTGATGGGCTTCTGCAAATCTGGAGAACTGATTCCCACCCCCCATGGGAACACTTGAAGCACAAAGGAAACTCTGCAGCTAGAAACAGAAAAGCTCCATGGCTTAAATGAAAAGTCTGCTTTGTAAATTGAAATATATCATTAGTTTGTGTTTTGCAACTGAAGCTTCTGAAATACCATCCCAGTGAGTATGGGAAAGCAGAAAAGACAGCTACATTTTATTTTAGCTGACATTATTTATGCTTGGGAATCGTGAATGGAGAAGTAACTTTAAACAACTGTGATGACAGCACTGCAGAATTAAGACAATAATGTGAGGGCGTAGAAAAAGAATTCTTTTCTCTTTCCAGAACAACTTAGGTAATTCCCTTTTTCCACAATTTCTCACAAAGCTTTCTTTACTGTGTAGCCCATACATGTGGCTAACAGACTAGCAAAGTTTTAATGGGAAATATTATTTTTGGGATTACTATTCACAAGAACTTGACAAAGAAAGCCTTTCCTATCTTCTTTACCCACATCTCTTGATCAAATAGATCCTGATCCCCACAGATCCTGATTGTATACAGCTATAATTAATGAGGTAATTTATAGCAGATATCCAAACTTTGCCCATATCCACTGTCATTTTCAGAGGTGCCTCCCATACATGTGACAGGTTTTGTCTCCCACTGCTTCATCCCAAATCTGACAGACAAGGTGGTTCAAAATAATGTGTCTTGTGCTTTGATTTATACCATAGGAGCTGTAAGGCTTTAACAGAGGAGGATGGCTTGCATAAAACTGAAGAAATTTTAATCCTGTATCAGTGATTACAGAAGGCAGGAGGCTCTGAAGGGAAAAGGAATGTGTCATGGCCATAGAGGCACATCACTATCAAGGGAGGCACAGGGCACATGCTGAATCAGTAAATGTATGAAGACAGGTACAGAGGGAGAGCATGACTGTCTTGTACCATCTCAGCCCTGTTACAGACATATTTATCTCCAGAGGTCTGCTCTTTCTGCATTTGCAGACGTGCTTCTGTTGGTTTCCTGCAATTTGGCTGCTCTCTCCAATTTTTGAATCAAAATTCAGTCTTGAGTCAAAAGTTCAAGGAAATTAGTTTTAAAATCACAAAGGAAGAAAACCAGAGCTGAAGTGTTCAAGATAGGCTCAGGATATGTTCACTGACCCACAAAAATCAACTTTTAACTGTGTAGGCTATTGTGTACACTGGATAGAGTTTGGTATAAAACATATGAAAGTGAATAGTGAAAGAATTGGCATTATAATCAAAGTCAGGGTTAAAAAGACAAAACTAGTCACATTTAGCTCTGGTACAAGTCCCTTGTAATAGTTTAATTTAAAGAAAAAAAAAGGCATTCAGGAACATAGGACTAGAAAGTTAAAGTAAAAAAATGTTGAAAAGATAAATAAGAACACATTAGAAAAAAGGTTGTAGTGAATGGTGAATTACAGTCCAGAAAAAAGAGACAAAAAACTGCCAATGAAGGGATTAAGGAAGGCAGGACAAGCTGGGAGGGAGATTATTTCAGTAGATGATTTATAAATAGACTGACAGCCTCTTCTGGAGACTTCATCTGACAAACTGTTATTAAACCCTCTCAGTTCTGTATTCCAAAACTCCTGGAAATATACAGTTGGGTTTCTGAAGTCACTGTGTATGTGGATATAAGCATGGGTGTGTCACATCCAGCACACTGAGTCCAAAAGGTGGGTAAGCAGTAGAAATTACTGGCAGAATATTTTGTAACATGGACACTGCATTCACTTATACAAAACCACTCATAAAAATGCGTCAATTAAAATAGAAATGGTTTATAGAACTAAAGTAAGACTTAAGATCTTGATGACTACACTGAATTATAGAGAACAGCTAAAATTTAACAGTTAAAACATGGCAAAAGCGATATCCTGCAATTTGATTCCCACGAGTGTGGAGATGCGTGGCCCCAAGTACAGACAAAAGAGCAGATGAAATTCCATAATAGATAATAAATTAGAAAAATATATTATTATTATTTATTAAAAATAGATTAAAAAAATGACTGCCTCCTTTTATGACTGAGGAGTTGATCTTTGCTACCTGCTGTCAGCACTCAGGCCGCGGTGACACTGTGGACGCGGTGTCAGCACATTTTGGCGCGGCACGCGAGCAGAGGCTGAGCGGGCAGGCTCAGGTCCTTGTGCAGAAGCTGAGGCCACCAACTCACCTGTTCCTGGCTCATCCTGCGCAGTTCCCTCTCCCAGGCTGCCTGGTCGCTGTCCAGGTGGTAGGAGGCGGGCGGGGTGAGGCCCTGCAGGATCAGGGGGTCGCGGTCGTGGCACAGGGCTGTCAGATGGCCGATGTACAACTTCAACTTGCTGCGGTTCTGCTCGAGTTCTAACAGGGGCTGAATTATCTGAAATAAGAGAGACAGACAGAGAGCACGGCCTGAGACCCAAGCAGTGATGAAGGCAAAGATCAGCCTCTCAGTTACAATCCTGCCCAGCTTTCAGTGGGAGAAACCTGCCCACTCTTTCCCTGGTCCGTAACACACCGAGCATCCAGGAGGAAACCACGCTCTGAAAGGGGGCAGTGATGACAGCTGCGTGATTAGATGGGGAAATAATGGTGATATGGGTGGAAAAATGAAACAATGAATGCATTAACTCTACTGATTACCCAACACTACTTCACTTTAACTACTCAAAAGAAGATTTTTCTGACAAAAGGTGTCTGTCCACAACTTGTCCGTAAGGCAATGTCAATAAAGATTTTTAGCTCGTTTTGCCAACAAACATTTCACTGCAAATTAAGAATGCAATAAACATGTTCTAAAGAGAATAGTTTCAAATTATGCCAAAACACAATTCTAAGACGATCACACCTCTGCTGTAGAAATTGGATAGAGACATATCTTCACCAGAAAGTTAAAATTTTATTTTCTATAATGTTTTATAAGGTACAGTATTCTATAGTTTTGAAAAGGCAATGACTTTTATTATACAAGCCAGATTCTATATAACAAACCAAAAAACTGAAATCTATAATAAAGTACTATTTTATTTCATTATACTTTACCCAATCTGAATCTAATCATTGTTCCTCAATGCAATCCGAACCAGAGTCATCCAGCTCCCATAAAAAGTATCTGAAGAACCATTTCTCATTTTTTTTACAAAAATACAGAGTTTGAGTGTGTAAATACCGACCGGGATCCTCCGCTGTGACCTTCCACAAGAACACTGCCTCATTTGCTCTGGATGTTTGCGGGCACATATTCAAAACCTCAGTAATGCAAACCTCTAAGGTTTGCAGCTGATGAAAAATTCGGGAAGGGCTGAGTTTAGGGCCCCCTTTCCATAAAATGAGGTGCAGGGCAGGGAGAGCTGGGGAGCCTCCCAGGCAATTTCTGTTTGTGCTCCCAGGCAGAGGCTGCACCTGCTGGGGACAGCTCTTCAATAGGACACCTCTGACCCTGCTAACGAAGGACTGAGATAATCTCTGACACAACAAAACAGGGTGCTGGCATTACTTTCAACAAAGACTCGGGATTTGACCCTGTTTAACAAGGCTGTCAGGGCTCACTAGTTTTGTTTCCAACGCTGTTTTACGTGGATTAGTTTGTGCAGGCTGTGAGGATCTGGGAGGCATGGCTGAGCAGCTAGCTAATGTCAGGCTCTGCGTCCTGCCAAGCTCTGCAGCCCTCACCAGCACATCTGCCATGGGACAGGAGACAGGCAAGAAACCTGAAAGGGAGGGAGAGAGCTCACGTGCTTTAGTGAAAGCCATGGAGCCTGGGGCAGCCTCTGGTTGCAGATATAAACACACATAAATAATGCTTTGTTGTATCAGGATGGGATGGGTGGACAAGGAGCTGGAAGGAGAAGTGGCTGAGGGCTGATCCCAGAGGGTTGTAATTAGTGGCACAGGGTCTAGTTGGAGGCCTGTCATTAATGATATTCTCCAAGGCTCAGTACTGGGCCCAGTATTATCCAGCTTATTCACCAATGACTCGGATGAAGGGGCAGATGCCTCCTCAGCAAGTTCACTGCTGACACAAAGCTGGCAGGAGTGGCCAATAGCCCTGAGAGCCATGTGGGCCCTCAGAGAGACCTCAGCAGGTTAGAGAGATGGGCAGGGAAGAAGTGTCTGAAATTCAGCGAAGACAGGGCCCTGTACCTGGGGAGGAATAAGCCCATGGACCATCACAGGCTGGGAAGCAGCTCTGCAGAGGAGCTGGGGCTCCTGCTGGACAACAAGCTGTCCATGAGCCAGCAGTGTGTCCTTGGGGTCCTTGGGGGCAGCAGTGTCCTGGAGTGGGTAAGGAAGAGCTCCAAGGGAAGCCTGGAAGATCCTGCCCCTCTGCTCTGCCCTGGTGAGGCCATACTGGAGTGCTGTGTCCAGTTCTGGGCTCCTCAGCACAAGGAGCTCCTGGAGAGAGGCCAGGGAGAGCAGCAAAAATGATGAGGGGACTGGAGCATCCCTCTTATCAGGACAGGCTGAGGGAGCTGGGCCTGGGCAGCCTGGAGAGGACTGAGAGGATCCCATCAGTGGCTGAGTATCTGCAGGGAGCCTGCCAGAGGATGGAGCCAGGTTTTTGGTGGTGCCAGGCAATAGGACAAGAGGCAATGGGCAGACACTGATGCTCAGAAGTTCCACCTGAACATGAGGAAGAACTTCTTTCCTGTGCAGTGACCGTGCACTGGAACAGAATGTGCAGAGAGGGTGTGAAATCTCCCTTAGGGAGATGTTCCAGAACCATCTGGAGGCAATGCTGTGTCCCATGTGCTCTGGGGTGGCCCTGCTCGAGCAGATGTCCCACTGTGGCTCCCTCCAGCCTGACCCAGTCTGTGATTCTGTGACTGCAAACTGCAGCAGGGCAGAACACTCTGCTGTCCTGTACACAGGGCAAGAGCAAGGGACATTTTAATAGAATCAACAGTTACATTTCACTTCCATCACCAAGCAAAACTGCCTTTAGCCAATTACATCCATCAGCTTTGGTTATTTACTGAATTCAGTGACTAATGTAACTAATTCAGTAACCATGCACCCCAATTTCAGATAATATCTGTTACCAAGATTCTGATCTGAAAATGGATTGCCTGTGCAAGTGAAAACCAGTGACACTTCTAATTTAATGGATGGCTTTCCTATCTTTCTTACTATTTGATTTGCCCACAGAGGGTAAAATGATGGATTATCACACCTTAAGAAGATACTGTTCTATAAAAATGTAACAGTCAATGTCTAGATAATAGATAATAACTAGCCCAATCAATGTAGTAGCTGCCTTGTATTCATTTCAGATACCACAATCTCTTTAGTATCTGTCAGATGTGAGATTCCAGTCTGAAAAGGATCTGTCTGGGTAAATTTCCTGGCTACTCTTTGTGAACAGAAACCCTCCTTGATGAAGAGAAAGCAGAGCTATCTAGCAAGTAAGAATGGAATATTTTCATCCAACAGTTGAATTTGACTGCTCAGGGATAAATCCCCTTTCCAAGCACATTCCTCCTGCACCCTTCCCCCTTTTACCTCGAGCTGGAAAGAGGCCAAAAGAGGCGTGTGAAAGTTCTTAACTAGCAGCCCTCCCAAAGCTGCTCACAGAGCAATCACTGCCCTCACTTGGGATCCATTAAATGCTGCCAGTGGAGTAGGAAGTGCCCTTATATCTGAATTCCTGCCATATCTAACTGGAGCTGGCCCTGAGCAAGAGGCACTGAGCTTCCCACACAGCACAGCTGCCCTGCCTTATCTCAAGAGGGTGGAAGAGCGTTTGCTAAGTGGAAAAGCAGGGTTCATAACCCACATGGTGTTCTCAGGATCAGCTCAGAGCTGCAGAGCTTTCTAGGAAAACAGTGGGTGAACAGACCAAACCCAGGAGTGCCTTCTAAAGCAGCCCTGGTTCATTAATTGCCCTGATAGGTTTAGGCCATCCTCATCAATGCGTGGAATGAAGTCTGCTTAATGTACCCTAAACCTCAGAATATTGCTAATGGCCAGCTAGGTTTGACAACATCTCACTAAAAAAGGCAATCACTACAGCTCTGAGGCAGAAACGTGCAATGTTGGAGTCTGAGGCACTGAGAGTGTGCCCTTACCTCTGACACCTGGCTCTGACATCCAAGAAAACACTGAATTTCATATCACACCATGGAAACAACTGTGAAAGTTAAACAGAAAAGCTAGGAGTGTAAGTGTGTAAACTAGAAAGTTTTCTTAAGTCACTGGGTGAAAAAGTTAGAGTTTAAACTAGTTTAGAGAACAGAAGACAAGATGGGGGATTTAGGGTGTTGTCTCTTGTCCTTCTTTCTGCTTCATCTTCTTCTTCCAGAGGTTTTTGGGTAGCAGTAGGTGATTGGATAGGTAAAAAAATGCTGCAGTGCAGCACACAGGTGTTGGGTCATTGGATCACTTAGAAAAACAATTAACTTGGCATTTGTTAATTGGGTAAATAGACATATAAAAGACCTTGAAGAAGATCTTTGATGGTCATTTTGTACCTTTCTATCTTAGTGCACGTAGGTCCTTGTACTCTGTGTATATTTAATATAGATAAAAGAAGAATAAGCAATCAAGTCAGAACAAGAGAAAACTGCCTCTCCCTCATCAATCTCAGTCCAAGGGGAAAAGAACCCAACCATGAATGTTCTATCAAGACAGTGGAATGCCTGACAAATCTCTCATGCAAACCCAACCAACCTCAACTGCCTAATAAAGATATTTGAGAACATACTCCAAATTTGACTTGAAAACAACATGTTCAGAGATTTTGTACATTGTTTTAAAATCTCTGACTATGACAAATGTGAATCTAGCTATGGGTTTACACGCCATTGGGGCAAAAAAGCTTTAGAATGAAATGAGATTGCTTCTTCACTGCTAGTCCTACTGTTGCTGGACAATGGTCAACTGAAATGTGGGTATCTGAATTTCAAGGTTTATATGCTAAATCTCTGCATTTCAATACCTATATGTGCAAGCAGTGTGTACTGGAAGTATGCAAAAATACATAGGTGGTTATTTGGAAAAGAAAACCAGCAAATGTCCACAGACATCTGCAGAAGAAAGAGTGAGTTTAATCAATGTGAAATTCCCCACAAGCACCAGCTTTAAATGATTCCTTCTCCAGGCAGAAGGGCCAATGACCTGGTCACCTTTCTCCCTGCTAACAATCCCTTTTTCTCTGAAGGAACCAACCACTTTTCTTTTTCAGAACCAAGCATTTAACTTTATTAATTTCAGAAAATATCTTCTAAATTTCCACTTAAAAGAACCTGCAGCTGCCATTTTGAAATAAAGTCTTAGAGACACCCCTAAAAACCTGCCTGTTTTTGCAACTGCATCATTTGACCTTGTAAAAGTTATCTCCTTACACAACTTCGCCTTACTTGTCAGAATAATTCATCAATG